AGTGAGCGGGGGAGGGGCAGAGAGAGGGAGACAGAGAATCCCAAACAGGCTCCTCACTGTCAGCACAGAGCCTGACAGGAATCATGAGGCCATCACCTGAGCTGAAATCAAGGGTCAGAGGTTAACCTGATCCACCCAGGTGCCCCATGGGCATTTTGTGCTTTTTATAAGAATTTATCCACTCCATCTAAGTAGCTCTTTATAAAGTATGCCTGTTTGTGCTACTAATTTCTTATTTATTCCAGCTTCTCAATCTTTTTCTTGATTGGCCTTTCCAGAAGCCTAGTGTGTCCATTTCTTTTAACCAGATTGTGGTTTCAGTCACCCTTTCTACAGGTTTTCTCTTTTTCATTTCTTTTTGCTTTGATCTTTTCTAATTTCTGTTCTTATATTTCGGGCGAGAGGGAGATGGGCTAGCGTCACATTAAATGCCTCATTCACTTCCAACACCTGTTGCTTCCGAATAAGTGCATTTACTATTATCAGTTTCTTCTTAAGAATTGCCTCAGCTCCGGGGTGCCTGGGGAGGCTCAGTCAGTTCATCATCTAACTTTAACTCGGGTCATGATCTCGGTCCATGAGTTCAAGCCCCACGTCAGGCTCTGTGCTGACAGCTCAGAGCCTGGAGCCTGCTTTAGATTCTTTGTCTCCCTCTCTCTCTTCCCCTCCCCTGCTCACTCTCTCAAAAATAAACTTAAAAATTAAAAAAAAAATAAAACAAAACAGAATTGCTTCAGCTCTTTACCGCTGATTCTGACACATCAAATTCCATCATCACTTATTCTGTGTCTTTCCTCATTTCTTTGATCATTTCCATGAGTTATTCAGAGATGTGTTCATGAGTTCCCCCAAAATTAGGGTTTCTAAAAAACGATTCTTTTGTTACTTTGAATGTCATTTATTTGTCGTTAGAGCAGTTCTTTTCATCTTAATTCTTAGGAACTGACCGAGACTTCCTCTATGACCCAATATCCAACTTCCCTGGGTGGACAGGTGAAGGGCACACTACCTCTCACGGTCACGACTCCAGTATCGTTATTTTCCTTTACTTTGATCTATCGTTAACAACTGCATTAAAATTTCTCCCTGGATGTCTGTCACTTTGCTTGATAATTCTTTTGAAGTTTTGCCATTAGGTGCATGTGTTTGTATAACGAATAGCTCTTCTTGATTTATGACTACATAATGTTCTTTGTTAGCCTGTGTGATTTTTCATTCAAAAGTTCTGTTTGGGGTCTTTCTTTTCTTAACTTCAAAATAGTGATGTAAAAACCCCCTACCTCATAGAATTCATATGGGAATTAAAAATACTAATCCATGTAATGCATTTAACTATTCTAGAATAGTGAAGCCCTGTTAAATGTTGACTTTCTTCCCTCCACTCCCTTTTTAAAATACCACAAGTCTCACCAATTTCAGGTGGCCGAGGCGTGTGTGCCAGTCTCTGGGAGGCCCTGCCTGAATCTCCTCCCTTTCTGCTCAGCACGGAGGTATCCACCCTGCCGAGAGGAAGGTGCGTGCAGGGCTCAGGAAGGGAAGGGTCAGGCGCTGTGACAGAGTCCCCGCCTGGCAGCAGTCAGAGGGCAGATGTCCCCGCAAAACCAGATGGATGAGCATGGGCCAACCCAGAGAAGGTCACCCATATAGAAGGGAGATTCTGTCCACATAGATACAGTGAATGACAGGACACACCGGAGAAGCTGGTCAATGTGACAAACGGTTGCAGCCAAGAGCCCTGGGATGGGAGTGATGGAGTGGCCCAGCCTCTCCACGGAGGGCAGCTTCCAGAAGGATGGCTCTGCCTTGTTGATCAGACCACAGAGTGGGGGAGAGAAGGCAGAGCCCTCAACCCCAGGTCTCACCTCTACTCCCAGGTCTCCAGGCATGTCCGTGCCAGCCCAGTGGCCCAGAGCAGCAGTCCATGATTGGCATCGAGGACACAGAGGTGTGGCCTAGGAATTTGGCATAAATCACCCCCTCCCCCCTGGGACGGGGCAGCGGGACTCTGCAGTGGGGAGCATAACCCAATACCTGCTGTGAGGCCGGCCTCTTAAACGCTGTCATCAATCTGAATTAAACTGAGGGTTTTAATAACAGAGTCCTGCCAGGACCTCCCTTCCCAGTTTTATCATCTCGTGCACGAAGTCACTTCCGAAAGAAAACACCCAGAGCCAAAGGGGATAATAAGTACAATTTTTTAATGTGTTTTGTTCCTGGTGGTTTACACGGGAGGAGAGCGACAGCATCTCACAAACTGTTCCGGGTAGGTTCTGGGCCTGACCCATCCCCAGGCCGGGAACGAATCGGGGTCACCGGGCTCTGGCTTTGGCAAACCCCAGCAGCAGACCATGGGAACCACCCAGGAGCCTGGGGGACACGCATCTCCCTGGGGCCCTCGCCAGCCCTGCTGAGCCAGAAAGTCCAGGGAGAGGAGGCCTGGGCATCTGCGTTCCCACCCCCTCGGCCAGTCAGTCCATCCTGTCCTGCCTCCCTCAGGCCGCCCTCAGTGGCCACAGAAAATGAGTCCACTCCTCAACCTTTGGCTAAAGCACTGGCCTCAGTGGGCTCCTGAGGTGTTCTTCTTGAGAGAATTGTAGTTGTGACTTATAATAAGAAGCATATATTTGGTCTGGACCCCTTTCCTGACAGAGTTCGCAAATCCCTTGGAATTTCCCAAGTGAGGAGAACCATAAAGGTATCTTTTGTTATGTTAATGAGGGGGTTGGGGACCACACCTAATTTTGGGGCGGATGCCTGCTGCCTCCCATCGGCAGAAGGTTGGAACTTTCAGTGCCACCCCTCCCCCCAGGTCCCCTTCCGGCTGCTCCCTGGGAGGCTGAATCAATCACCTCTGGTCAATCAATGACTGGCTCAATCATGCCCATGTAATGAAGCCTCTGGGGAAAACGCAAAGGACAGAGTTTGGAGAACCTCCAGGTGGGGGTGCACGTGGAGGTGCGGGGTGAGTGGCTTTCTCGGAGGGCCTGGAGGCTCACGGCTTCCACACACACCTCGCTCTGCACAGCTCCTCCGCCTGGCTCTTCCCGAGCTCTCTCCTCTTGTAGTAAACCAGTGATCTAGGAAGTAAACCCATTTTCTGGGTTCCATGAGTCACTCTAGCAAATTGATCAAACCCAAGGAGGGGGTCATCAGAACTTCCCATCTACAGCTGGTTGGTCAGAAGCACAGGTGACAAACTGGGCCTGAGAGTGACATCAGAAGGGGGGAGGGCGGTCTTGTGGGCCTGAGCCCTTTAATCTGTGGGACCTGACACTAACTCCAGGTAGGCAGTGTCCCAACTGAGCTCAATTGTAGGACACCCAGCTGGTGAGATTTGCTTGGTGGATGTGGCAGGGAGGGAGACAACTCAAACATATTGGAATTGGAGCCAGAATTCTAGAGGCTTCCATGGACCAGTAAGTCTGGGCATTGATGCCGATTGGCTCCCCAGTTCCCAGGCAGCAGGAACCCCCCGTGGCTTCAGGAGGCTCATCTCCAAAAACACACAGAGGAAAGTTTTCCAACCCTGAAGTACTGAAATCCCATCTGTCTTTCTCTGAAGACCGGAAATAGTAACACAGTCAGCACATCTACCTTTTGTGTGCCCTGTGGAAAATATTGATGAAAATGTACTTGTTGATCTAAACGTTTTATGAGAAACCGGAACAGTTCTTTGCATCCTAGCTAGGCTCTGCCTCCCTGACCCACTACTAAGTAGGGCTCGTTGGATATAAAACAGGGAAGTTGGCAACGGTTAGGCTCAGAGAAGCCCATCGCCTATCCAAGGCCACACAGCTGGGATCTGAACACAGCCCACTAGAATCTAAAACCCAAGACCCTGCCTCCATGTCCCCATACTTCCCAGCGATGACAAGTACCAACTGAAATGGAAGGTCAGTACCCAGGGAACAAGTTCTATGGAAGGTACCCAGGGACAAGAAGGAGACGGAAGACTGGCTTCTATAGCTGAATTTAGACGTGGCTCCAAGCTCTGCGCAGGACAGTAGCAGGACATGAACAAGAGGGAGCCGCTTACCAGAAAGGAGAGAACACTCATTCCTGACAGGACGACTGTGTGTATTGATGCCGGGAACCCCATGGGACAAAGCGAAAACGTCCTTGATAACATTTTTGTGGAGAAGGACCATGGCTACACTTTGTGCAGCTGTTTCTCAGAAGGATCTCAGCAAAAGCCAGGAGCATAACAGAAAACGTGACTCAGTGAAGACCAGGCTTTGCCAAGATAGGGTCATGTGGTCTAAATATGCAGGCTCCTTGCTCCAGAGATAGAATATAGAGCACCAGAGGCATGGACGGATTGCATGCCCTGCAAATGATCATCTATTTTTAAAAAGTAATCATTGGTCTTTTGTTAGCAGGCGCACAGCAAAGGCACTATTGTGGCTGACGATTGATGATGGGTGTTGGTTAGGTTGACCAGATGGCTAGACAAGTGGCTTAACCAAAAACTTCTGCCCTGATCCAAGGGCCCCACCCTGGCCAGAGAGAATCTGCAGGGAAACAACTGTTTGTTCATAGGGTTGGCTTTGGGCTTCATTTCAAAAGATAAAACGTCATATGATCGCATCTGCCAAATCCTATGCTGTAGAGCACGGCCAAGAGGCCGTAGCTGTGGAGCCGCCATTAGCTCCCCCACACCTGCGGAAAACCACACGCGAGCCACCTGGACCATCCGATTTTAGCAACAGGGAGTCTCCACGCACCCTCCACATGAAATAGGTATGAAATAGGCCTCTGACAATTGAATCAATCATCCTTCTTTATAGAGATGTTGTTCATTTCAATGTAATTAGATTCTCAAACACTTTGCTTAAATTTTTAAGACTCCAACTGGATTCATAGGGGGAATTTTCTCTCTCTCTCTCTCTCTCTCTTTCTCTCTCTCTCTCTCTCTCCTCCCTCCATTCTTGTGGGAGAAGTAAAATGTGCTCACGATTTTCTTCTGGTTTAATAAAGAAAAAATAACAAGCATCTATGCCTTCAAGAAAACAAAGACATTGATTTAAATTTTATTGCCAGGGCGACACATTAGCCATTCGGAGGCCTTATCAGAATCACAGCTGCTTTCAAGACGAAGGTTAGGTTCTCAGGACACAAGGACACTTGCCTCCAGGTCTCCCAAGGTGCCTTGTTCACAGTGGCGTCTATGAGCCATGCTTTGTTGCAGCTGTAGGGAAGGGAAGCAGGTGCCTTTGCTTCATGTTACCTTCTGGGACATTCTTCACCAGCCATTAGGGCCACGATATCCAAGCTACACCTGAGAAGTCGCTTTCACATGCACACTCCTGAATCGCTCTCTCTGATCACTACTGAGTCAGAGGGGGAACCACACCAGGTTTGTGCAGTCAAACTGCACCAGCGATGTGTGCGAGGGGCCTCAATGTGTCTGGAATGTGCCTCCCCCCCAAGACCATCATGGGAATCAGGAGTCTGAGATGCAAAAGAGCCCAGGCAGCTGCCGGTCCACTCATCACGTGACGGGGGAGGGGCGGATACGTCGCGTGACCCCGTTGCAGGCCCAAGGGTCACTGGGGCTGGGCTCGGTGATGGACGAGGGTGGGCGCAGGGGCACCCAGGCTCTAAGATGAGCTCCTGGTAGTCACAGCTCTGTGCAGTCCCCTCTCTCTATCCGGACTGGTCTGTATAACCAGTAGAAGATGACATGATAATGTCACTTCCAAGACTGGTTTCTCCCTCAGTTCCTCGGCCTCTCACATTCTGGGGAAGGTGAGCGGCCACGCTGGAGGAACGCTCGTGGAGCCGCTTGTCAGATGAGGAATGGAAGCCTCCAGCCAACAGCCAGCAGGCACTGAGGCCGCCAACAGCCAAGCGAGTGGGCTCAGACATGGTTTGTCAGCCCCAGGCGAGGCCTCAGGTGAGACGGCAGCCCTGGAAAGCCCCGTGAGGGACCCTGAGCCAGAACCTCCCAGCGGAGGACCCCCTGGACTCCTGACTCCCAGGAGCCACGAGGTGACAAGTGGTGGCTCTAGCCTGCAGCGCCCTATGAGCAGCCTGCCTGGGGATTACCAGGGACACAGGAATGCACGTGCTACATGACAGCATCACAGGAGGAGGGGCCCAGAAGAGGCCCCCAGGGCCAGGAGGGGGCAACCAGAAGGGAGGCCTCACACCCCCAAGTCCAGCCCCACCTAGAAGACCACTTCTAGAAACTCCCAGGCTCCATTCTACACACCGCTGGGAAGCAGATTTATTTCAACTCTGCAAACCCCAGGGGAGCTGCAGGGTGTGTGATGCTCCGCTCAGCCTGCGTCCCACCATGGCCCAGCCTGAGGTGGCCTTGGGGTCAGCAGACGGGCTGCCCTGCTGGTCTCCTCTGTAAGGACATTGTTCAAACTGGTGAGGCTTCTTGACCCAGAGGCTGCGGCCAGTGGGGCTGCCTCTAGACCCCAATCACAGCGTGAACAAGTTCCACGGCTCACCCCTACACCCTCGGGGCCTTCCAGGTGGGTGCAAATTCCCGCCCCTGGGATCTGCTCCCGGACCTCGGATCTCCGTCAGGCCGGCAGCCTGCTGAAACCATTCGAGGACAAGCATCCTTCTTCACCAAGACGCAGGACGCCCTTTCAGGCCCCTGGGGTTTGCTGTAATTTCCCCTTGCACCTCGGGGCCCCGCATACACTAATGCAGAAACCCCACCTGGAAATGGCCCTTGCCCCAGGCCCCTTGCAGCTGAAGACGCAGAACTTCTCCTGCATGCCCGGCTCAGCGTGCACCCAGGGCCCCCCACACCCCCGCCCGGCAGGCGCTGCTGACCTCCTGGTGGTCAAAACATGAAAATAAAAATGCACCCTGAGTTTCTGGTGCGGTGTGGGCGGAGTCGGGGGCCCACACCCACGTTCCCGGAGGTGCCCCATCACACCCCTGGGCAGGCCCGGCCCCCTCCACGGAGGAGGCAGCTGGGGATCCGACCATCCCAGGACCCTGCTCTGCAGAGCCCGGAACAGAACCGGGGATGGCACTGGGGGCCTGTGTCCCTGGGGAGGCGGGTGGTGCCGGCGGGATGGGTGTGAGCATGGCCCTGAGGAGATGGGGGCGGGGCTGAGGGTGGAATCCGGGAGCTCAGAGGAAAGTGGGCCCTCTCCTTCCTTCCCTTTCATCCCAAACCACACACGGCTACGCTTCCATACAGAACAGAAAAGCCCCACCTGCAGTAGAGCCTCCTCCCAGCCCAGCGGGCGGCTGGAGGCCCGTCTGTCTGTCACGTGTCCTTCTGGGACCCCAGGCGGCAATGCAGACACGGGGTCACTTGGTTGATTCGTGCCGGTCACAGCACGGCCCTGGAGGCATGGCCTCTTCCCCAGGGACACGAGGACCCCGGGCCCTGCACCCCGGTGGCTCTGAGAACTGCTGGGACCCTTCCCCCAGGGCAGGCGCAGCCCCCTCACCTCCCCCAGGCCGCACGCACCCCTGCTGGGCCCCTGACCATCCGGTTCCCCTGCTGTATCTGGGAAGTTCCCTTCTACGCACCGGGCACATTATGAGGCTGTCACAGAACCGAATGACGTAAATCACATAACATAGGTACCACTGTGCCCGGCACGTGCAGCAAGTGTTGCTATATTTTACTCAGAATGTTTCATTGAATTTAAGAGGGGGCTGGGCAAAACGCTCCGTTACTTTATGTTCCACTAAGAAAGAAAAAACACCGCCAATTAAACTGACACAATGTTTCCTATCCCTTACAATTTTTATTTTATATGTATTGAAGGAGCTCTTCCGGACTTAATTAGACAGGGCTTTTTATTGGTTATCACTTTGGAGCCCGCATAAAAACAAAGATACAAGCAAAACGAAGCGGTTAAGGTGTTCTTAACACCTGTGCACGCAGACGGCCACATCCACCCCATCACGTCCTGCGCTTTCCTCCCATTACAACCTCGGCGCGGTCGGGGGGCTCGTCCTCAGGGAACCCACAAAATGAGCCAAAGCAGCACGGGGCCCAGAACGGGCCTGGGGGTGGCAGAGGGAGCCCACAGCCCCCGCGGGTTCTCCCCACCCCACCCCCAGCCGCCTCCCCACAGCGTGCCTCGCTGTGGTCTCCACCGCCGTCCCCCAGGCACACAGACACCTGCGGGTTGGGGCGCATTTGGGATGTTCCCGCGGGCACCCTTCCCTCCTCCCCATGGGCCTGTCTCCTGCGGGACGGACAGGAACCCACAGGCCTCTGGGTCTGTGACTACAAAGTCAGATGCGCCGCAGCCAAGAGCCCGTGCAGCCGCATGTCTCCTGAGCACTTATTCTACGCCAGGCGCTGGGATGTGGCCCCTCCCCCCGGACGGGTGCAGGCTGAGATGGGGTGCATGCTGGAGGGCACGGGAGGGGGGTGATACACATACTCACTGGGGAAGACGAGTCAAGGTATAGCCAGGTGAGGAGCGGCCAGGCAGAAGGAGCAGGGTGTGCTGGGGGAGAGGGTGGGGAGAGGGACACTGAGTCAGAGAGAAAGAGACCGAGGGAGGGGGGAGCTTGCCGTGCTGTGGTTGGTCTAAGCACCTAACGGGCACGGCTGGGCACACACACCATAGATCGCAGAACGGCGCCGCTTACTCACCCTGCAGGGCTGGAGTCACAGTCCGGGGCGCACGGTGCCGCCCGGCTGAGAACCACAGGGGCTCCAGTCCTCCTGCACCTGCCTGGGTAACAAGCGGGTCACAAATACTGAAGGCCCCACCCCCCAGAGGAGTCAGCTCCGTAGAGACCAAGTCGAAGGGTGGGTGCCCGGAGACGGGGAGTGAGAGCTTAAAGGGGGCAGAGTGTCTGTCTGGGAAGGTGGAAAGTTCCAACATGTGCGTGTGGAGACCGCACAACGAGAATGTGCCGAGTGCCCCTGAGCTGGGCCTGCCTGGACTCCAGGCCAAAGCTGGGCTGAGAGTCCGTCCGGTCCGGCCTCTTGAGCCTCACGGCACACGACATGCCTCCGAGCCCACAGCTGGCTGGAGACCGGCCGGGGCTGGACGCACCAGGGAGCACGGTCCTGCTCAGAAAACCCCTGGAGACCAGCTGGCGGTGGGCAGTGCAGGCGCCTGGGCCCCCCACTTTTCCTCTCGTCTCCGCAGGACACAGCAAGCCAGCTCTGTGTCCTCTCTGGTCCCCCGGGGCTGCCCTAAGACATGCACGGACGGGAGGCTTGGGACAACAGACCTTCACTCTCCCCCTCCTGGAGGCTGGACGTCCGAGACCAAGATGCCGGCAGGTGGGTTCCGTCGTTAGCTCCGAGAAAGCCTGCCCCACGTCCCCCCCACCCCAGCTCCCGGTGACAACCACCAACCCTGGCTGTGTTCTGACTCACAGACACATCCCTCTAAGCCGTGTCCCTGTGGTCACGTGGCTTCTCCAGCGTTCTCTTTTGTCTTGTAAGGACACTGGTCATTGGCTCCAGGGCCCTCCCTAATCCAGCACGGCCTCATCTTAAGTTTGTTATATCCGCAAAGACCCTCTTTCCCTAAGATCATGTCCTGAGGTTCCCAGTGGACATGAATGGGGGGGCGGGGGGCAGTGCTCAACCCACTGTAGTGGCATCAGCAGGCGGGAAGGTTGAAGCAGGCTTAGGGCTGGAGGGCACAGGTTGGCACCCACAGGGCTGGTACCCACAGCCCACGTGCCTCAGAGCCTCATCTCTGTCATGGGCAAAATTAAGGCCGGTAATACTTGTTTTGTGGAGTTGGGGGAATTGCAAGGGGCGTTATGTGTAAAGATGCCTGGCACAGAGTTGGTGTAGCATAGAGGAATGAATGAATGAATGAATGAATGAATGAATGAGCGAGCCAGTAGATGAACAGCCTTGCTGGCCAGGTCCCAGCCCTACACAGGCGCCCCCCACCCCGGCTGCAGGATCTGATCCGCAGGGCGGCACCGGGCTCCGCTGCCCGGGCGGGGGGCGGGGAGGTTAGGCATATCATGGAGATGCACGCAAAGTGTTTGTAAATCTCTTTCCCAGCGAGGGATTTGATTCTTCGAGTGCAGATAAGATGTTTGAGCAAACTCCACTGTTGTCCCGATCATCACTATTAAGTTGCACTTGGCATAGCGTGGGCTGAAGAAGGGGATCTATTTTCCCGGGTAATAAGGTTTATTTTTACTCTAGCTGAATAATACATGATCAGTGTCAAAATAAATTACAATCCTTCCATTATAAACCACTTTGCTGTCCTACATCCGCGCGGCGTCTGCCTTCCCTTCCGGAGCTGCCGGGAAGCCGCCCTTCCCTCCCTGCCACGGCTCCGGCACCCATCTCTGCGCGGCGGAATGGAATATGGAGTTGGTGCCTCCCGGACCCGCAAAACTGGGAACACACTGCATTCGAGATTGGTTTTGTGGCCATAAATTATGTAACAGCTTCAATCCCAAACCAGACCGGTATTTCCACGTATGCTGTAAATAAAAACAGTAAATGATTTTTCTAAGTGTTTTGATTTTTCATCTGTGGTTTATTCCCCTATTAAATTTCCGTAAAGCCCCATTTATGCAGCTGTGGAGAAATGTATAGTAAAGGACTTGTCGTCCTGGTGGCGCTGGAGGGCGAGGTGCCCCTGGGTGGGCCCCCACCCACAGGCTCCCCTACGCCTCTTGGCCTCAGTTTCCCCAGCTACGCAATGGAAGCAGGATTGCCGTTTTCTGAAGGGCTCCCTTCCAAGATGAAAACGAGGAAATGGGAGCAGAGTGATGTAGAGCGACGCCGGCGGCTGTCGTGTCAGACTTTTACGAAAAGTCAGTACAGGCCGCCTATCGATGCCTCCCGGACCCCAGGCACCAGGAGTCCCTTAACTTTAATGAGAACCATAGTGACAAATACGGTCAGGCGCCAGACACGCAGGTCAGCATTCTGATCTGAAGGGTAAAGGAGCGTCTCTCTAAGACCCAGAGAAAGAATCTTGCTCAGAAACTCCTTTGTCCGTCCCTCAAGGCCTTCGCGGTGCCCTCCCCGCTCCCGCGCCACAGGCCGCACGGCTGCAAGGGTCAGCCGAAGGGTGCCCTCCAGCCTGGGCAGGCGCCTGCACTTCGTCCCCTAAGGCTCTCCCCGCCTCCCCCCGCCTCCCCCCGCCTCCCCCGCCTCCCCCTGCTGGGATCTGCCAGGGCTCAGGGTCCCACAACCAGGTCGCACCCAGTGGCCCGGCAAGGGCGTCCTTATTATACCCCTGGAGATACGAATGTCTACACTCTCGGATTTCTATGCGTTCAGGTGGGGACTGCAGAGTATGGCCGCCCCCGGAAGCCCCTTGGACACTCCCACAGAAGTAGGACCCGCCCCCCACCCCCTCCCCTCACCACGCTGCCACCAGGGCTCGGGCTCCGAAACCTAGCAGACTCAGAGCTGGCTGTGCACACACCACGGTGCTTTTTGGGGTTTTTGGGGGGTTTTTTTGTTTTTTTTTAAATGTTTAATTATTTCTAGGAGAGAGAGAGAGAGATAGCATGAGCAGGGGAGGGTCAGAGAGAGAGGGAGTCACAGACTGAAATAGGCTCCAGGCTCTGAGCTGTCAGCACAGAGCCCGACGCGGGGCTCAAACCCACGAACCGCGAGATCATGACCTGAGCGAAAGTCGGACGCCTAACCGACTAAGCCACCCAGGCGCCCCTACCACAGTGCTTTTTGTAACCAAAAGGTCAGCTCTGTTTCCCTCAGTACAGCTGGGTTTCGAGGCTAGATTGAGACTGTGAGGGTGTGCGCCCGCCTCCTTCCACCTGTCGGGCAGGAATTGTGTGCGACGGTTCCACGGAAGTCGGATGGGGCTGTGTGGCCATGCGTGAGCCCGTTTGCTTAACCCGGACACAGGCCAACAGATCTGCCGTCATCACTGTCTGTGACGGACACCGGGGACCGAAGATCTGTGTCTAGTGTGACTGCCTCCATTCCATCAACCATGCCGCACTTTATCGCTATTGTTGTTAAATTATTCGCTAGTACTGATGAGAAGCTTCCCCAGACCAGAAAGCACAGAAGGAACACTGGGCCCAGGTGTGGCAGAACCTCCTGCCCACCTCACTTTCCCCACCCCCACCCCCACCCCCACCAAAGGCAACGAAAGGGCAAAGCCCACCCAACTTTGCACAAACGACTTTGCATTCACGACTTTGCACACGACTTTGGCACACACAACTTTGCACACACAATTTTGCATTCACGACTTTGCACACGACTTTGGCACCCGCCTAATGCAAGGTGGTTGTGTCAGGTTGAACCACGCTTCTGAGATCAAAGTAACCTTCCTGTGGAACAAAGTCAGCGGCTGGAAGACGGAGAACTCTTTCTGTGTGCTCAGCTGGGCTCTGCATGGTGCGGGAAGAAAGCCTGAGGTGGCCGCTGACCCTGCCCGTGCGGTGGCATCTGGGTTTCCACAGCTACTGTATCCTTTGGCGTTCTATCCTCTCCTCCTACTTCCAAGAGCAGAAAGCAGTGTCAACAGACGAATCCAGGTATCCTGTGAGCCAGAGAGAGAGAACTTTCCAGAATAAAATGCAATATTACATCTTAAGATGTAATCGGTGCTTTTAATTCAGGATGTGTACCTCCTCCTGATTTTATAAAAGGATCTGAAGTATAATGCTTGATAAAAGGTGTTTGTTGGGGCGCCTGGGTGGCTTAGTCGGTTAAGCGTCTGACTTTTGCTTAGGTCATGGTCTCGCGGTTCGTGGGTTCGGGCCCCGCGTCGGGCTCTGTGCTGACTGCCAGCTCAGAGCCTGGAGCCTGTTTCAGTCTGTGACTCCCTCTCTCTCTGACCCTCCCCTGCTCACGCTGTCTCTCTCTCTGTCTCTCTCCTAGAAATAAATAAAACATTAAAAAAAAAAAGTGTTTGTGTGTCATCAGCTCAAACAAGAACAGACAGACCTACGGGTAGGCGAGTGCACCTGCCTCAGTTGAAATGTTTGCTTCTGTTAAGTGCAGCAGGGAAAGAGTTCAAGAGCCCTGGGCCTGGGGTGCCTGGGGGCTCAGTCGCTTGAGCGTCTGACTTCGGTTCAGGTCAGGATCTCCAGGCTCGTGAGCCCGAGACCCATGTCTGGCTCTGTGCTGACAGTTCAGAGCCTGGAGTCGGCTTCGGATTCTGTGTCTCCCTCCCACTTTGCCCCTCCCCTCCTCTCTCTCTCAAAAAAACCAGAATAAACATTAAAAAATAAAATAAAAAAGAATCCTTGGACTCCCATCAGAGATGCTCTTCCCCCTCAGCATCTACTCTGCTCTGAGCTCAGACGGCACCGCACATTTCGGGGGTGGGGGCAGATTCTACCCAATATTCAACCCAAAGATGAGTGAGGAAAGCCGCACCGCCTCCTGTCCAACTCGGGCATGTATGGAATTTATGGGCACAAGCTGCTTTAAAACTCAGACCTGGGGGCGCCTGGGTGGCTCAGTCGGTTGAGCGTCTGACTTCGGCTCAGGTCATGATCTCATGGTTAGTAGGTTCAAGCCCCACGTCAGGTTCTGTGCTGACAGCTCGGAGCCTGGAGCTGCTTCAGATTCTGTGTCTCCCTCTCTCTCTGACCCTCCCCTGCTCATGCTGTCTCCCTCTCTGTCTCAGAAATAAATAAAACATTAAAAAAAATTTAAATAAAGAAACCACTCAGACCTGGAATAATGGTCAGGTCTTGAGTTACAATGACACGGTGATGGGTGCGCCTGCTGAGTTTCCTGATGACGGAGCAGCCGCGTCTGCTGTGTTTGGAGTCTTGTCTCTAAGGAGCTTTGTTAGTTTGGGTTTTTGTCGGAGGCCGGCAGGAATATGCTTTTCCTTATGAGGTATCTGTGTTCAGAATATGGGTCTGATATGGAATATTGTGAGGCCTGGTCAATACCAGCAGGCTTATTTCCAACATGAGCCAGTAGTAGCAGAAAGAGATACCAGTTTTCGTTTCTCATGGCAGGAGCTGCAAACACTGCCATTTCCTTGCTGTGACTGCCATCCAGAGAGGCCGGTGCAGCTCCTGGCAGGTTTTTAGAACTCGGTTTGTGCGCCCGGGAACACTGAGGAGGCAGGGTGGCATCGGGTCAGGACCGAGCCTCTACCTGCATCTCTTCCCTGACACAGAAGGCTGTTAAATATGTGCGCGCACACTACGAGTAAAGAGAAATAATTTTAAAGGTTGGGTTTTGTTCGGGTCTTTTGTTTTTCTATTAAAAAACAAAAAATCCCTCCCAGAGCAGCCTCTCGCTGCTCTTAAAGGTCTTTGGCACCTCAGAGCCTTTACCGCTTCAGGGCAAATATACGGGAAGTGGGAAGAATGTGAAGCTTTCCTTTCCGCAGCCTGTGTGCACAAAGCTGAAAATCACTCAGCGACAAATATATAACACAAGCAGCATCCGCTCCAGAAGCTGGAGTAAACAATAGTCGTTTAGAGTTAAGGCTCAGCACCGCGGACTTTCCTCCGTGAAGGATCTAGAGCCGTCCGCGCCTGGAACTGGGACCCCCGGGCTTCGGGGACGCGTCCGCTGCCTCAGACTCAGGGCTTTGTCCTGTCGGGTAGCCTCCCTCTGCAGACACGCACAAATCTCGTTCCCCACAGGTTCCGAATGGGGGGCCCCACAGACACTTTTTCGACGTGCTGGACCCAGAGTCCAGTCCGGGGCCAGACTCCGACTTACGGCAAAGCAGCATGGGACGCCCCCAGAAGACAGGACGGGGGGCGTCTCTTTCCTGCAGGCAGCCCCTCCCCCAACCCACCCCGCACAGAGCCAGGGGGACGCGCTTCCCAGGAAGGAAGGTGATCACCATCAAGTGAATCACACTTGTCAACGCTGTCACACAAGTGCCCACCTCTTGAGCGAAGCTTCTTTTTTAAATTTTTTTATTTATTTCTGAGAGAGACAGCATGAGCAGGGGGTGGGCAGAGAGAGAGGGACACAGAATCTGAAGCAGGTTCCAGGCTCTGAGCTGTCAGCACAGAGCCCAACATGGGGCTCGAACCCACGAACCGTGAGATCATGACCTGAGCCGAAGTCGGACGCTTAACCAACTGAGCCCCCCAGGCGCCCCTCTTGAGCGAAGCTTCTGGCTGGTCAGAAAACAGCTCACATTCATCGTGGGCGCGGTCTGCCCGGAGCTGCATGGACACGACTTCCCCGGAGGCCTCACTCGAATGTCATTTCGGGAGAAGGTGCTGTTATTTTCCTCATTTACCAAACAAAGAAACCGAATCAGATTGTGTGATGAGTCCAAGTGCCCGTGGGTTCAAGTGACAAAGGGCCGGGGGGACGGGGGGACCAAAGCCCTGTCCCCTCGTCACTCTCCCTTCCCTAGAGAAACAAGATGGTTTTCAAGTGTTATCCTTATTACTAAAATGACATGTTTATCTCAGATAATTTTTTTAAACAAAGAGACGTAAAAACACCTAAGCTCGGCCACCTTTGCATAGTGAGCCACGACCACTGTGACAGCATGTGGGTGCCACGTGGAGGCGCTTGCT